TGTAAAAAAAATGAAAAAAAGCATTCAGTGTAGGTCTTTCACTTTTATATATCAGTTTGAAAACGTCAATGTTTAGAATGGAAAGCTGTAAATAAAAATATAATAAAAAAAAACATTCCAATGTGAAAAGAGAATTCAAAGCATCATTTAAGGAAAGATTGTCTCAATAATCAAACTTTGACCAGTCAGGCAATGATCATGTGATTCAACTTACCTTTTTATATTCAGCTAAGACTAGTATTTCCGTTATGAGTCTGTGATTCTATTAAGTATTTCGTTTTGTAAGGTGAAGTACAGTGAGTATGTTTAGAAAAAGAAACTATATTTCTATTCCATGTATGAGCGGCAGCTGTATTTTACTGTATGTGCTTACACTAATTTATGACTGACGATATAATAAAGCACCTTCTCTCTTGTCATTATTAGGCATTTAAAATTTGGATCATTAGGAGGGAAGGTAAAGAACTGGTTAAGTTGCACAGGTATCAAAAAGTGAAGAATCTGAGGCTCCCATCTTTTTACTGAGGAGTTCTGTTATACACTATGTTCAGTACCAAACTAATCTCTTATGTAAAGGTAATTCAGTGCCTTTTTATGATCTGCTGTGTTCCCCACTTTCAATGTTCTTGCAAAAAGAAAAAAAAGATATTTTTAACTTGTGTATTACCCCCGGCATACTGTAACCGAATAAACAAACAAAATCAGGGTCATTGCTGTTGTACTTTGTGGTGGTGATTTCTTTTCATTAGAGCCGTTTAGTGTGAACAGCCATTGTAATTCATACAGGTGTTGGAGGCCATTTGGAGCTGTTTTAGGAATCCTAAAATCAAAACAGATTCCGCCATTTAATACTAACCGTACATTTACTGAGTTTATGCCACAGAGTTTCCTTTTATTTTTGCAGTGAGGGAGAAAACACAGATTTGGTTTCCTACATAAACTTTGGTCAACTGCTGACCAGTGGAAACATGACTGCCTCCTGCTTTTTCACCATCATAATTGTTATTTAAAAACAAGCATAGAAAACAATTTGAATCATGTTACAGCTGGTGTACAAACTGGCTTTCGAAAACTTTGTTATTCATTACATGAAGGAAATTACCCACAACTTAGCTGGTAGGAAGTGTTTTTCTGTAAAGAAAGAAAGAAGGAAAAGAAGAAAGGAGGAAAGGAAAAAAGAAAGAAATCAAATCAAGACATCAGTAGATAGAGACAGGAATGGACATGGGGAAGTTAGAAACACTGGGGAGTAGGATTACAGAAATTTAGATGGGAAGAGTTGAGTTTTACATGACTGCTTGAATAGACTGAAAAGCTACTCACCACCTGATCAGGTATGAGAATTATATGAATGAACCCACCTAACAGAGGACAACAACCTCTTGATGAACATTTTTCTGTTCTTTGTGTTGCAGCTTTTACTAATCATCTCAGGATTGCTTGTCTTGCCACTAAACACCTCTGATCGCTGTGCTTTGTTCAGTTGTTGGTGGCTGACCTTTCCCTCTCTCCTGAATGCCTTCTCTGCTGCTCAAGATTAAATCGCTGCTGTTTCCATTCAAGCTACAACCCCCCAGCTGGAGTCTTTGCATTGTTTGTGCTACACTAGTGGCAGAGCTCTTTGAACAGAGAAGCTGCCACTTTCAATGTTTGAAAGTTCAAATATTTAGTTCTAATCTTACTGAATATTTAATTTACACCTGAAAAAAAGTGATTCACTTGATTTTTTTAAAATAACCTTTTTACACCTATGTCTTATTTAACTAATGATATTCACAGAAAAAAATGTTCTAGCAGAGGGAAAGGAACTGCACTCTTCTCCCATGGGCTAACATAACTTAAATAAGACACTTCTTGAAGAAATTTACCAGTTTCCAACATAAGTTTGAGGAACGTTTGCCTTATGCTAGGACATCTTTGAGGTGTTTTTTGCATTTACAATCTGTTTACAGTCTTAATGAGATCAAAATTCTACTTACTTTTACCCAGGAGGTTCCATGTTTTCTATTTCAGCCATTCATTCATAAATGTCCTGTGATATTTCAGTTTTTCTCATGTTGAAAGCATCCTCTGCTACAAAGAAGAATTCATTGTGATTTTTTTCTTTATATGGTGAGGTGGCCAGACCCTGCTGCAACAAAGTATTCCCACTCCATGACACTTCCACCTTCATGATTCACAGCTGGATTGCTGAATTTGCTTCATGCCTCGTTTCTGTTTTTACTGGTTTTGCATTTTAAACAGATCAAATCTCCCTCACTCTGTGTTGTGCCTCATGTCAAAATTAGAAAATCGCTTCACAAAATCAGAGGGATCACGCTGGTGAGATTTCATTTTCATCAACAACTGGCAATCCAACTTGGGAAATCATCCTCTGATATAAACATCCAATATTGCAGCACAATCAAGGCGCTACATCATCCCCTCATAATCTCCACCTAATTGAATTGTTTTGGGTCTCTGCTCATTAACTCACAATTCACCATCCCACATCACCTCAGCCTCATTTAAATGGATAGACGAAGCGTTTAAATGCACAGAACAAGCAGGTGAGGATGCTTTACAACTGATCCTGTTGTTCTACACGCAGAGGCTGACACGACCCTCATAAAAATGGCCTTGAGGCACGGATGGTCTAATTTAGCTGGAGCGATGTTGCCTGTCATTAGCGAATGAACACAGTTGGGTCCCTCTGAAGGCTGTGCAATCTAGTCAGCTTTGGGTAAATTTAGCCACCAATTAAGGTTGTGTTTTATGGGGGGATAAAAATTGTGATATGGAAGCTGGCAGCCACAATTAAAGAATATCTCTTTGAATCCATCTTTACTCGAAGCACATCCGTGGTTGCAGACAGCTGAAACAAAAAAACGTTCAGTTGATGATTCAGACATTCCTTCCTTGTCAGGTGTTGTTCTGTCTTTCTCCTACCAGTCGACTGACACTAGGTGATGTCTTGGGTATGATACACTGCGCTGTGGGTGGCGTGTCACTGCTGTTGTCCACATCCTCGTCTGTTGCTTGGAGACAGCTGTGAGGTGTTTGGTCTCTGTGCAGCCACAGGGGAGACTGTGAACAAATAACAGGTCAGGGGGTCAGCCAGGAAGACGGGAAAAAGTAAAGGACGTTATTATTACACACTTAGAAATGAGTGGACTCTGTCATTGGAAGAAGGAGATCTTTATTCCAAATGCAACCAGGCAGGTTGTGATAATAAACATGGATTTTTGCCATCATTTCTCAGACTTTGACACTGTTAGATGTCCTTCACCAGGCACTTTGTTTTGCCCACATTATATTGTTTTCTGACAAATCTGACATGTCAAGCTAACTGCTTTGTTTCTTTACAGATCTCCTAATTGTGCACAGATATCCTGGCCAACAGAACCAGCACTGTGATTCTCCCACAGTCCGTATTTATATGGATATCATTGAATACTTTTACGAGGGCAGTTTCAGTGCATGTATTTTTCTCACAAATGGTGCTTCCTGTGCTGCTTACCAAAATAAAACCACAAGCTTATAAATCTCTGATGCCTATTTATACAATTTTTTTTCTTTGTTTAACTATTGAAGTAATTCAAATTAATTCGGTAAATGGAAATTTTCTTTACTTGAATAGTACTTTTTCAAGTCCAAAACACTTCATACTACATTCAGTCATTCTGTGATTCACACACATTCACAAGCTGATGATGGGAAGCTACTGAATAGCCCTTGTCAGACTGCTCTGTGGCAGTCTAACAGAGGTACTACAATAGTAAAAGGGGCTGAAAATAAAAACAAATTACACTACTCTGATTTTTATTAGTAAAGAAATTATAAAAACTATTCAGCATTTTTGTCTTTTTGTCATTTTTGTTACAGCAATCTATTACATATAAACCCAGTAACAATAGATTATAGTAGAAACATTCCAAATGGTAGACAGGCTTAAGAGGTATGAATACTCTTGCAAGGCACTGCAATCCTGGATTGTATTTTTTGTCTCCTTGACTTTATGTTTAGCTTTAAATATCCCAAAGTTTAAAGTATAAACCCCCATGAGCTGTGTGAGTGGTGTCAGAGCTGAAAATGGGCCAGAGTCCCGTCTAAAGTGGGGCGCAGTGGTTTATAAAAAGCTTTCCCACTTATGCAGGGAGTTTTACGGGCAAGATGTTGATTGTGCAATTCAGATCTATCAGATTTGAATGGTTTAGATATGTTAATAAAGCCCCTGCTGACTGGTAATGATAGACAGCCTGTAAGATTTCAGTCTTTCAAATGAACTGTGGTTTTAAATACTTCCGTCAAATTAACACATGCTGAGCACTTGACATAAATACGTGTAATGCATTTTCTGATGACACATTTTTTAACAATGTCAACAGCATGTATATTCTACAGGTTTGAAGTAAAAGCCCCTTTATCTTCATAAAAATCTGGATCAGCTGCTGGGATCAGGTGAAGTCCTTGTTTCAAACCTCGATGGTTGATTGGCTGAGAAAGTAGATCAGCCATTTCAGACGCCAACTAATAAAGGAAATCTTTCCCCCTAGGAGTCCCATGACGCATGGCACCTGAGACAATTGAACGAGATTGGACTGAATAAAAAAAGAGGGAGACGAGACAGAGAATGTTCCAGATAAATGATGGATTGATAAGTGTTTGGAAGAGTGATGAAATATTAAAGTCTGGTGTCAGAGCATGACGATTGTTCCCATCTGATGGCCTTTGATGTTGTGAGAATTGCAGGGGGAAAAAATCTGAATCAACAAATTGTATTACAACTTTAAATCAATGAACTCATTCATGCGCTAACACTGGTCCCAATTGCTTCTCTCAAAAATATTGATGTCGAGAGCACAGAGACATCCAGGTACACCTTGCTCATTTAAGTGAATGGCCTTAGTTTACGAAAGGCAAGCAGGGAGGGAGAGGAAGAGAGGAGAGAGGCAGAAACTGGGGCACTGTTATCTGGCCTCTTTTTACCAACCACAAGGCACAAGGCGGAGAACGAAAAAGACAGACCCTTGAAGAGCAGGAGCGACAACAGAGGAGATCGGCGGTGTGGTGAAGGTTTGCAAAAAATCTGGAGAAAATGTCCGATGTCAAGAACTGAAATTAAAGAGGAGCAGGAGCAAATTCCACAGCAGACTGTCCAATCAGTCGCCCGGCTGACACAAACCGGTGGCAAGCACGGACGCGCACACCCACGGTTCGGCGCGCACCAACTTGAAGCCGCAACATGTTTGAGGAGCAGGTGACAAAGGTCAAGATCACGTCTGTTGTGATCATCGTCGGCATGTCTGCAATGCTGGCGGCAGTGGTGACAGATCATTGGGCCGTCCTGAGTCCCAGGGTGGAGAAGCTCAATGCCACATGTGAGGCGGCCCACTTTGGCCTCTGGAGGCTTTGCAAGAAGACCATCTTCATGGTGAAGGAAGACCCTCAGGGCAAAGGATGTGGCCCCATCAGTTTACCTGGAGGTATGGGGCATCCTAATTTTCAGTGATTATCTTTTAGTCCTAATGGTTAAGGTTCCCGTCAAGAAGTGAAGTTCAACCATTAGGTCTGTGGTGTTGCTAAGATGGTACATATTATTAATAATAGTGACTGTTAAAAATCCCTAAACGAGTTTCTCACAGGACATTAAAGAGTTTACTGAGTTATAATCTATCAGCTTTCACATTCAGGACCCTTTATAAGCCCAGATCCATCTGTGGATCTGTTCCTTCTTCTGTTGTCTTCCTCTCTTGTGGCGGCATATATGTGACCATGTGTGCAGACATTCCTGAGAACATAAACATGGATGGGTATTTCAACCAAACGCTTCTCACCTCACTATGCCCACAAACCCTGTGAACTCTCTTTGTCTTCCACAAAAGCAGTCACTGAACAGACTGCTGATTATATACAACGAGGACACCTGCAATGTGTTATGGTGAAAGAAAGTGCAAATTTTTTTCTGTTTGTCATAAAACCATATGGGTTGTTGAATTATTTATTATGGTGTAGTCTGACTCTCTTTGGGCTGAAATGTAAGATCTCAACTCCCTTATCTTGACAGATAATATTTTGACAGATTCTTTGGAGGCTTTGATCAAATCAGTCGTGAATCTTTCAAGAAAGTAGCGTTTATGACTTTTGTGGTTAAAACACAGATGGAAAATGTCAACCAAAGCTGTTTCTGTCAAATATAAAGTCAACTCTTTTGTGCAGTTGGGTGTTTTTTTTTTATGTAAGTCATTAAAAAAAAGTCAAAACATTGCAGCTTGTATCTTTAAAGGTTTTAAATTACCTGCACAGCTTTAATTACGAGGAGTCCTTTTGTGCAGAGCTAGCCCCTGGGTAAAACCATGTCTCCTGGCCCCTGGCTGTGCATGCGTGCCTTGCAGCCTAACTGAGAGATTTCACTCTGACTCTGTCATTGACTTTGCCTCTGGCTCCTCCAGCACCTCAGGATCAGTACAGGCCTTAATGAAGTGTGGCTTTCCGCCCCAGCTCATGAGTTAGAATTCACCTGGGAGACTCGGGAGGAACGAAAGAAATTGAGAGAAGAGAGCAGGAGGGTGCACGTGGGCAGGGATACCTCTGTTGAGAGTGAGACTCAGAGCACTTCTGGTACGAACAAAAGAGAGAGAGAAAGGTGGCGGAAGGGGTTCGGAGGGGTCTTCCAGTGAAGTGAGATGGTGTCGTACTTTCTTTTTTCAAGAACGTGTTGAGAGATCAGATAATGGTGTAGCCTCGACAGAAAGCCAGACGAACACACTTTCATCTTTTTCTCTGGTCCAGGCCGTCACCTGTTGGATGTAAGACACAGAAATTGTAACTGACAGACTCATAAGTCCAGTTTGACATAGTAATCATGATTATAAAGCATACTCCAGATGTATTGAACCACTTGGTAAAACTGTGTCTTGGGTTTCTCTTTCAACATGTGAGGGTTTTGAAGAAAACAGAAAAGGGGTTGTTGATCAAATCTAGACAGATTTTCACAATCTGTCTAGATTGTCTTGAGACTTTTCCTGTACACTGTTCTCATCAGCTTACCCTCCAGAGTTTCAATGGGAGTCAGCTAATGGTGGCACTGATGACCATGAAAGACAGATTTTGTATCCGGTGATCAGTTCCTGAATTTAGGTGACCACATATCATCGCACTGCTTACTGACTGAAATATGACCTGTTTGCCATCCGATAATGTTATGGTGTTACTATGGGAGTGCTATGTGCTCTAAGACAGCAAACAATCTCACATCACCGGAGATCTTCCACCATACATTACGGTGGAAATATGGTGCATTTCCATATGTTCATAATTTGTTTACTGCCAAACTCATCTGGAGTGTTTGATCAAATTAATTCACAGGGGTCGACAGTAAGGACTAAAATGTAAAAATACATTTTAAAATTTACCAGTAGTCAACAAAAGACATTAAAACACAAGTGGTGTGCTGTCTTTTTTGTATGTTGGTTAGAAGCCTTCCAGGAGCACTCCGAATTGACTGGAGAAGGTCAAGCTCTTTCTTATTCAAACAGATGAAAGGATGGTTACAGCAGTCAAGACGAGATGAAATAAAAGCATGAATAATCATGTGTAATTCAGCTTTTGACACCAGAGTTTGAGATAAGAAATGTTTCTCAGCTGCTTTTTGTTTTCTTTTCTTTGAAACATGCTAACAGTATGTTGGCTTCAGAGAAGGAAGAGCTGCTTAAAAGAACAGCAGCACTGCCACAGTTTGCCCATTGTAAGGGAATAATTGGAAGCAGTAAGTTTTTACTTTGAGAAACTTTCAAGATCTTCTGAAGCAACTTTGTATTGTCTTCAATTTCTACAGCATTTTAAAGGTGAATACAGATTTTGTACGTTGAAATGTTTTCTCCAGGAAGGTAGTATTTTTGATTTTGCCCTAAATGGAAACCATTTTGGATTGTAAATCAGTAAACTAGAGTCTTCATCCATAGTTAAACTCCTCTTCTTCTATCAACTTGTCACAGTCTTCTTGCAATAGCCTGAGGGGAAAAATGGGAAAAATCCCACTGTCAAAGTAACATTTTGAAACAGAGACCTGTATTTTTATGTTAATCTACTTGAGCTGAGCTTTTTACCTTCAGTAAGTGTCAAGCTGTTTTCTTTTATTTAATGTTGTTAGAGGGTCCATTTTGCCATCTAGTTCAATATGCTACAGTGTACTTATGGAAATCAGTCTGCAATCCATTTATTCCCATGAGAAAATCTCTGGCCTTCCTCGTGCTTGTTTAACCATTTATTCCACTTTTCTTCATCTCAAACATCCTTTGAGTGTCGCTTAAAAGCTGCTAGGTTTTTGTTGCATATTTCAGAGAGGTTGAGTTGGAAGAAAAAAAATAAATGAACAAAGTGCTCACTTGCCCAAGTGGAAACATTGAAGGCACGCTGGTTAAAAAGTAAATCATACTGATGGGCAAATGCTGGTAAAATCTTACGCTTTCACAAAAACTGCGGGTTCATTTCTTATTAGTTACATCGGATTATGTAAGACAATCTTTATGCAGTATGCTTTTATGCAATTTTACTCCTTTAAACAGGAGTAAAGCCAGGTACTTAGTTTATCTCCTTCTCAGTGCACTGTGCTGACTGCATGTAAAGCACAGTGTTGTCTCGGACCAATATGTGCCCTGGGAGATTACATCCTTCATGAATCATGAACCCAAACACACACGCAACACTGATTGAACTTAATAATGCAAATTAACATTTTCCTAAAAGACAAGGAGGTTGGATGCAAAGAGGACAGCACACAAACACTCATTTCTATCTACTCATCTGTTGATAAGCGGTTGTGTAACAGGAGCAGCTAAACTGAAACGGCTTTCGAAATTAGCTTCCCAGAAATGACGCATGACAGCTGGAGTGTTGTAAAAATCAAACAAACCCTTTATGGAGCACATTGCGCAGCACGGCTGGGAAATAAAGAGCACAAATGGACCTTTTGGGTGCACATGCATGTTCACATGCATACATGCTCAAAGAGGCAACAGAGACAGGTTTATTATCAAATATGTTCCAGAGCTTCAAGGTGGACATGAATTACGCTTTCCAGTCCATCAGTGGAAAGAAAGTATCCCCAGAGCGCATCTTTACATAAAATATCTTCCACTTCCTGCTTTTCATTTTCACTTTGATGATATTCAGAATTTATACTCAAAAGTACAAATAGCCCCTGGAACATTTTCACCTTCACTTAATTATTTCCCTCTCTCGTGTGTCGGCTTCCTGCTTGGAGTGGAAAGCCAAACAAGGCAGCAGTATATCACAACATGGAGCATTTACAGATACAAAATTTGAATAGCTCTCTTAAAATGCAAATGACCAAGAACATACAGAAAAAAATGTCCTCATGATGACGACAATGAAACCTTTGACTGCCGTCATGAAGGGTCAGCATGCTCAGGCAACTGGGATTCTGTTGTGTTGTTGTGTCCCGGTTATCAGAGCGCCTGGTGGAATAGCTGTTCAAATATCACAGTGCATGCTTTTCACACTGACCCTGAACTAGTTGGTCGTTCCGTGAAAGAACCTCAACGCAAACTGTGAGCAAAAGCCTTCAAAATAAAGACTTACAAAATACTAAAATTTATGTAGGAGTTGGATGGTTGACTGAATTTCAAACAAAAACAGAAAAAATGTGAGACGTTGTGAAACAGAGTGAGTATGGGGTTGGTGAATCAGAGGCGCCACATCAAAGAGGGAAGACTGCAGTTAAAACGGAAAGAGGTGAAACTAAAATGACAGGCGACACTTCGCTCTAATCATCCTCCCCCTGGAACTAAATCTCCCCATTAGCAAGACTGCAAGGTCGATGATATGCACCCAGATGTTCTCCTTCTAGGTAAATGTTCCCTGTTTGGAGCATCAAATGTGCCTTTTTCCACAACAGCTTTTTACCAGGTAGTCAGTCTAAAGGAGGAAAAAGAAACAAGAGTAATCAAACTAATAAAACAGACCTAACTGCAGCGTCTTACAAAAGTCTTTATAGACCTTAAACTTTTTACTTGATGTCACATTAAAACAAAAAGAATTGTAACACAACATGTTATGATTTTGAGTTTAAATCTAACAGGAAGTAGAACAAAATTGTGAAGTGGCAAAAAATAAGACAGTTTGCTTCTAATTTTTCAAGTAAAATCTGCGAGGGTGACCTATGCTTACTTTTACTTTTACTGCAGTTTTTTTTTATGGCAGTGTAATTTGCAATAGCTACTTCTGCTTTCATTCGATTTAATCTTATTTTATTTTATTTATGTTTATTTGATAGGGACAGAGACAAATAGGCAAACTGAACAGAACAGCAGTCCCATGTTTGCGTCATCAAAAATAATCAAAGCAAAAAAAGTTTTTAAATAAGTAAAAATGATTTTTTGCACCAAAATTCTATTGATTAAGATTTAATAATGAATGATTCCTTAATATATTTTGATAATAACCTATATTTGACAAATCACCTGGTTAGGATTAATGCTACCACAACAGTAAGGCCACAAACTTTAGAATTTTAAACCTGATTTTGAGTTAAATTTAAAGCAGATCTCTGGAGCTGCAGACAGAAATGTGACTTTATTTCCACCTACTTTCCCACTCTTAATCAGTCTTGATGAAAAAAATATATATATCTTCATTGTTTAAAGCTCCTCTGAACTATTATTCTTATCTCATCTTTGTGTATCAGGCAGAAAACTGTTTTCATAAAGACTGGAGAAAACAATAAAGCTCAACCCGAACTCATATTAGCGGAGATTAGCTTGGCCCCAGAGGTGCAGGAGAAAAGACGAATGAAAATAATATGTTTGCACATCTCAGCTGCACTGTGACCCTGCCTCCACTTTTCTGGGGTTCCTGTGTGTCCACTCGTACATTTTTCCATGCACAAGCACAGGCGTATGCATTCAAGGCTCTCTCCATATATGCCTTTACATGTGTAAACAGAGAACTAGCCGAGACCTGCAGCAGCCTGTTGCTAGGTAACCCCTTTTAGTGATTCCTCCTCATCCTGGTTAACAAACAGCTCCTCTGTTGCCTCGTGGACACACCTACACCATGCACAGACACCAACACGCAAACACTGTCTGTCCCTATCTGGGTAGAGAAGGGACCTGCCTGTTTTATGGGTTTAATCTCAGCAAGAAAGGATAGCGAGTGTAGAACAGAAGGAACACTTGCTCTGCCTTTAGGTCGGTGCCTTTAAAAGATGGCTCATGGATGGAGGAGTAGAAAATAATTGCTCTTCCCCAGAAACATTTCTTCACAGCGGCGGGAAACATCAAACTATTGTGGGACAGAATACTGATGGCTCAGCAAGTAAAATGCAGCAAATTCACAATTGCACTTCATGAAGAAATATGTCTGTAGTGAATTTGATTCCAAGTAACATGGATGTCAGAAAATATTAGCTTTTCTTCAAAAAAAAAATTTAAAAAAACTATTACAAGTTATAGAAATGATGCTGAGATTTGGAAGGGATATCTAACACACAGTGATCAGTCAGGCAGTCATTTATTCATGTCTTCACAATTACAACAAAGCTGTGTTTCAGTGCAGTTTGCTGTGTTTGGAAAACACTTTAAAATATACACAAAAGAAAAGAAGGAACAAAGCAAGGAAGGAGCAAACTTGCTGTCAGTTACATTGCATACATTCTCATTCTCACACGAGTGCATTGGTCACTCGTTGAATTTCTAAAAGTCGGCTTTCACCTGATGTTCTCAAAAGCAAATATTCTGTGGATAAAATCCATCAACCAGGCGTTGCGTTGAGGAAGTTACCTTTAGAACAGAAGTCTCAATCTCCTACAATGATCCAGATTTGGATGAATAAAACTTTTAACTCAACATTTTCAGTTAAGAATTTTTAGGTAAAATAGATAATGTTGCACACTCAGTGTTTTAATAGTTTTGGTATTCACCTCTGTAGCTTCTGTGTCTTGATAATGTCAGTGCAATTTTATACATACTCATGAAATACTTTGAAAGTTTATAACACAGAACAATGGCTGGTAATGCAAAGGTGTACAATCTTTTTTCTGCCTTTCGTCCCTCATATCTCTTTCTGTCTGTTCCCCCTCCTCACTATCTTTTATTCTTCAGCAAAAAACTGCTCCTACTTCAAACACTTCACATCGGGAGAAGAAGCCGAGGTTTTTGAAGTGAAGACCCAAAAAGGTGGGTGAATCTTCGCCAACTCAGACAATAAGCTACCACAGCACCACACTGTCTTTGTTTCAAAATCAACAGAAACATCTGATGATAAAAGAGAAAAAAAGAGAAGACAGTAAAGGCAGGGAGACATTGGACATATGATCGTATGCTCCCTTAATGAGACAACTGTTTGAGCATGACAACAAATCTTTATGCCACTTTTAGGAAAAACAAGAGGGCAATTTGGAGCAAATTACTTTTTACACACTTGTAATGGCAAACTTGTTTAAAATGCAATTCTTCCTGATTTATTGTGTTTAATCTTATTGCATTTGAGCGAAAGAAACAGCAGCATCGTGACAAATGTTTTCAATTAAAGACCACACTTGTAAACATACCTTTCTCAACTTCTTTTATATAATTAGGCTTGTGCAGCAGAAATGTTCCTGTTTTTAGCTATTGTGCAAAACGATAAGAGTAACATTTTAATAATGTGAAAACTAATTTGCTTTTAATAGCACAACAAATGAAGTTTTATTTCCTTCCCCTGATGCAAGGCAAAAAAAAAAAAAAAAAAAGAAATCCAATAAAAATAAAAAAAATTAAATAAAAAAATCTAAAACCAAGATAGAACAAAAACAATTGATGTGTTGTTATGTGCACATGAATTTGCAAACAAATGCTCTAAGGAATGAGAGCTTGATGCTGTAAGCCTTCTGTCTCCTATCTGTAGTCCAAAAAGCATGAAACATTAATATCCAACTGCAACGAAACTCTGAGCAAGACTTAATCATCCGACGGATTAATTCCCAGTTTGCATTTAGTTATTCATGCTTTGAACAGATAAACTGAAATGGTGGAAAATATTTTCTCGTTTTTAAGGTATAATTGGAAATATTGTAAATTGACACAATTCAGATTCTATTAAATTGACATTTATATATATAAAAAAACATACATATAACACCTGGAAGCTGGATCAAAAGTGAGTGAAATCTCAGCTGGTATACCAGCAGTATGCTGTTTTGCGCATGGGGAATATGGCTTTTCTTCATTTAATATATGAAACATATAGATTCAACTTAAATTGGGTCTGCACAGGTAAAAATGTATATGTTGCTTTAATGTTTTCTGAATAAAGTTAATAAAGAAAGAACAGAAATTGTGCACACAAAAAACTCCAATGTGCTGAAGAGCCTAAATGTGTGGAAATTTTCCACCAGGTATGTTTGAACAGTTGGGACTGTGAGGTGAAATAGGATCATTTCTGTCTCAGCTGGAGTGTTACAGAGATGCAAAAAGCTGATTATCTTCATCTGAGAAATAAAATAAGACAGAGAGAGAAGGCAAAGAGACATGTCCTAATCATCTTGTTAAAAGCCTGCAGCATCTTGTCTGTCATGCAAATGGTATTATTACGGGTTTGGATTAATATCTGTTTTTTCCTTTTTGAAGTGGGGCTAATTTAAAGGCTAATTATCCGGTTCATAACTCAGCTCAGTGCTACAATAAAACAGTTATCTTCTTACACAGTCCCAGTTTTTAATCTCCACACTGATCCTATCATCTCATCCAGTTTTCTTCAAACTTTTTGTCTTTGGTGGATTTTTATTTATTTTTTTATGTTTTCTTGTTGGCTTTGTATCCTCCTCTGGTTTCTAAATTTGGTTTGTTTCCTTTCCCTCCTAAGAGTACAATATCTCAGCTGCAGCCATTGCTATCTTCAGTCTGTTCTTCATGATTCTGGGCAGTCTGTGTGTGATCTTTTCTTTCGGAAAAGGGCGAGACTACCTGCTCCGACCTGCCGGGATGTTCTTTGCCTTTGCAGGTTAGATATGATCGTGTTATTTTTCCTCTTTTTTAGAATTTGAAATATTTATGATTTGCCGTTACAGTACTAATTTTTATAGACCTTTATTTTAAAGCTAATGCATTATTTTGTTTGATGAATTGTACAAATGGAGATCTTTCCTGTTTTGGTATGCAGGCCTTTGCATTATCATCTCCGTTGAAGTGATGCGCCAGTCTGTCAAGCGAATGATCGATAGCGATGAGACCATCTGGATTGAATACTATTACTCCTGGTCCTTTACCTGTGCCTGCGCCTCCTTCACCCTCCTCATCCTCAGTGGAGCTGCCCTTCTCCTTATCTCAATGCCCCACATGCCTCGTAACCCCTGGGAAACCTGCATGGACGCTGAGCCAGACAGCTTGGATTAGCCATGGATGATTCTCCAGGAATCAATTGTGAACAGAGATTAAAAAAATGATGGTTGTGTATCGTTTAACCCTATAATTATGTATAGCTCAAGTAAAAGACATTAAGTTTGCTTAAAATGAGAATTAACTTTTTTATCTCTTCTTTTTTTTTCTCTTTTTCAAATATTTCAAAATTTCATCTCCACGGGTTTTGAATTTAAATTCTGAATTTTGCATTATCAATATTTATAGACTTCCATTTCGACAGTGCTTTGCAAAAGTTTTCTTACCCGTTGATCTGTCTGTTATCTTGTTTAAAATTCACAAATGTTTGAGGGATTCCCTGCGATGACACCAACACAATGTAGTTGTTCTTTGAACTGTTAGATTTTGGCTATCATGTAAAATATACTGCACTCACCTGAACTCACCATGTCCAGCATGAAACACAGTGGTGCCAGCATCATGCTGTGGGGAGGCTTTTATTCTGCAAGAACAAACAGCTCCTCAGACTGAAAGATGAATGGAGCTAAATTCAGAACCATCCTGGATGAAAACTTGTTAGGAGCTGCAAAAGGTTGGAATAAGTTGACAGTCCAGTTCTTCCAGTACAACAATGACCCTTAATAATATAGCATATTTATATGTGTGAATTCTCATGACCTACATTTAGTTGTGTCATTAGAAAAGCCTCCTATTTTGGCTTTGACTGTGGTTGAAATGACTGAAGTTATTTTGTGTCAGTCATTTTCATAAAATCCCCCCAGAACACCTAAAGCATGTGGATGTAATGTGAGTTAATGCGAAAATGATCACAGAGTGTGAGTACTTTTATAAGGCATTGTATTTTCAACATAGGTGTTATTACCAACCTGTTCTAAAATTACACCTTTAGGTTTCAGTTAAGGCTGTAAAAATGCTATAGCTGTGATATATAGTATGGAAAAATTAAACTGTTTTGTTTGTCCTTCAGCTGCAAATGATGCTTCAGTTCGCCTGCAAATAGTACTGCCACTATTAGATAAATACCTAATTTAGACAAACTCCTTTTATCCAGTTGTTTCACGTGTTGTTAGTCACCTGTGCCTGATGTGTTTCCATGAGTCGGTGTGGCCCAGCAGATAGTCAGCTAATGCAGGTGCAATGAAATTAAAGACCCCTAAAGGATGCCATTTCACAGGGGAAAAAAATCAATTTTACAGCTGTAATCAGAACAAACCTGTTCTCATAGTTAACACAGTGTGACATCATTACATGGACTATGAAAAACAAAACAATTAAAGCACATTGTGCATGTCTCTTCTGCGCATAGCAGATCTAATAAATCTATTTTAACAAATGTTATCTAGTAAGAATATGAGTGGTGATGTAAAACAAAGACATGTTTTTTATTATCTGATGTTTCATAACAACAGGCCTAACGTAATGTTATTCATGTATAATTTGTATTATCATTTTTACACAATATTAATATTTGTCTTTTTCACAAGAATCAATTAAAATATTTAAATCTCCCAAACATTTGTATTTTCACTTGAGGTTTTGTCTTTTCTGTCACTTTTCTGTCACTTTAACTTCTTAGTTCAATCAGAAAATTATGTATAATAAATAATTATGGAGTGATAAACTCAAAAACCAGCTCAGAATTTATTTTTTGTTATTTTTATTTTTTCTTGGCATTTCAGGTGAACCATACAGAGAAGCAGTAAGTGAAATTTCTTTATTTAACTCTTTCCACATATAGCACTCACAAAGAACTTCAGAAGTTAAAATACATGCATATAATGATAACCTACTACAAAACACATACAGCAAAAAAAAAAAAAAGAAGAATTAGTTGGAATTTAGAAATACGCCTTAAGCTTCAAGTGGTTGAAGACATTGTGGAAGAACATTTCCATTTCAGTGCCACAGATTCAAAGAATCTTTACATTTGGTATAATGGACAATCACACCTACCTGGACATGCGAGTGAAGGAAATCGGACTGACATAAAGGAGCCAGACGTGGATAAAGACAACTGATAGATGGACGCATTGTCAGTTTCAAGCATCCAGCATGAAGCTGTCGTGTTAAGGCTGCTGTGATGGTGATTGTGGACGAAACGTCGTCGTCCCACTGAGAATGATGCAGTCTTTCAAAATGAAATGCACTTGAAATGTTTTCCATATCCAATCCAAAGTTCTGCTTATTCTCTGTCGAGGCTTTTGTACCATTCCACAATGCAATTGGAAACATTTCATTTCAGTCACTTAAGTAAGTCACTGAAATTGAACTAAATTATGAGAGACATTTTGTTCCAAATGCTCCACAGAATTTGAGTACATGAAGTCGAGGCCCCTTGGGAGCTGATGTGATGTGACAGATGAATATAGGCTGTTAAATAATTCATTACGCCTTTTTCTGTAGTTCAATGACTCCTGCACAATTGCTTATGCCTCCTATAGTACACTGTTAAATCCTGGAACTTGATCAGTATTTTGTTTTATGACTTTTGCTGAAATATCACACCTGCTTTCACAGCATCCAAAAAAATCAGGTTTGTACATTTTTAAAGCTCAGTTTTTTGCTTTGGCAGTGTCAAGTTAACACCTTGTAGGTGTCAGAACTGTGATTTCTGCACCTGGCTTCACTGCATATGTTTTACAGGGTTTTTTTTGTTTTGTTTTGTTTTTTTTTCCACAGTGAAAAAAGTTGGATTGGATATTATTTCACTGAGTTTGTTTTAGTGAGGTTTACAGAACCAAAGGAGCAACATTACCATAGTGAAGCATATTTGAAGGATTTGCACTTGCCATGGCTTTGATAGTGGAAGAATTACATGCGTTGTGCAACAGCAGGGGAGAGTGTGTGAAAGAAAACTTTACACTTTGGCACACATATAATTTTGCATACCAAAGAAAAAATATGAATCACAACTTCCTGACCTTTTCTTAGAAAAGGTACCAACTTCCCAGCAGGTATCTTCAATCTTTGTATATCTGTTTATTTGTTATATTTTAATTTGATTTATCATCTTACTTAACTTTATTTTAATTAAAACATAAGAAGCTCTTTAGCTGAAATGTCATAATCCATAATGCTACATTCCATTTTTGTCCCAGAGTATAGAAGAACATTGACGTTTGATTTCCCATAAGCCACAACTGAAACTGTAGCAAAGGACACCAATAACGAAAGGTTATGATTTCTGAGCAGCTAAATATTTTCATCCTGTTTCAGCTGGGTTTAGGACAGAGTAATACAGTCCTTGCTGCCTCCATCTATTGCTGCAGCTTCTGAAAGAAGACTACTATAAATCTCATTTACTGAGACTAAAAGTAACACAAATGTGCTGTGCCATTTGTGGTTAGGTTGTTTTTTAGAGTAAATCCATTACATTTTCTTTGTGTTTGGGTGCATGTTAAGCAATACCACTGACCCTCATCTATGTGGATGGTTTTATTCTGAAGCAAGAAAGCAGCATCTTTATTTAGACTTAGACTTAGACTTAGACTTGACTTTATTGATCCTTGGGAAGACTCCCTCAGGAAATTATAGTTACCAGCAGCTCACAGGCAAAAATGTGGCACACAGTAAGCATACACAAAATACAAATTAAATACAAAACAAAGAATATAAATACAACACAAGGAAATTATAGCAGTTTGGTGGATAGATTGACCAGTGATATGGTATTGCACTGTATGGTTTGGCCTGATAAATATGGAGTTCACATTTGTAGAAAAACTACTCCTTCTTCCTCTGTCCTGTGTCACCTCCGACCCCCAGTGAGGAGTTGTACAGTCTGAAGGCGTGGGGGACAAAGGAGTTCTTGAATCTATTGGTCCGGCACTTGGGAAGCAGCAGTCTGTCACTGAATCGGCTCCTCTGGCTGCTGATGACGGCATGTAGAGGGTGGCTGCTATCGTCCATGATGTCCAGCAGTTTGTTCAGTGTCCTCGCCTCTGCCACCGTCACCAGAGAGTCCAGCTTCATGCCGACCACAGAGCCGGCACGCCTGATCAGTTTGTCCAGTCTGGACGTGTCCTTCTTGGATGTGCTGCCTCCCCAGCACACCACGGTGTAGAAGAGGACACTGGCGATCACTGACTGGTAGAACATCCACAGCAGTTTGCTGCAGATGTTGAAGGACCGCAGTCTCCTCAGGAAGTACATCCTGCTCTGCACCTTCCCGTACAGGTGGCTGGTGTGTTTTGACCAATCCAGTTTACTGTCCAGCCACAGCCCGAGGTACTTGTAGGAGCCCACGACCTCAACCTCCGTTCCCTCTAGTACGACTGGTCTCGGCTTTGGTCTGGACCTCCCAAAGTCTATAACCAGCTCCTTCGTCTTAGAGGTGTTGAGTTCCAGGTGGTTTGTGTGGCACCAGAGAGCAAAGTCCCTCACCAGACAGCGATATTCCTCCTCTCTCCGTCGTCCCTGATACATCCGACTATGGCTGTGTCATCAGCATACTTCTGTATGTGACACAGCTCCGAGTTGTAGTGGAAGTCAGAGGAGTACAGGGTGAAGAGAAGAGGGGCCAGCACTGTGCCCTGAGGGCTCCTGTGCTGCTGACCACAGTGTCAGACACGGTGTCCTTCAGCCTGACATACTGCGGCCTGTTGGTGAGGTAACTATGGATCCAGGTGACCAGGTGCTGGTCCACTCCCATGCTATTTAGTTTGTCCTGGAGCAGAAGGGGTTGGATTGTATTAAAGGCACTGGAGAAGTCCAAGAAAAGGATCCTCACTGTGCCACTGCCCTTATCCAGGTGGGAGTGGGCCCGGTGCAGCAGTAGAGGATGGCATCCTCCACACCAACATCTGCCTGGTAGGCGAATTGCAGGAGGTCCTGAGCATGTTCCACCTGAGGTCTGAGGAGGCCGAGGAAGAGCCGCTCCAACGTCTTCATCAGGTGTGAAGTGAGTGCCACGGGCCGAAAGTCATTCAGCTCGCTGGGCCTGTTCTTCTTGGGCACTGGGACGATGCAGGATGTCTTCCAGAGGGTGGGCACTTCCCTTAGCTGCAGGCTGAGGTTGAAGATCCGCTGTAGTGGCTCTCCCAGTTCAGCAGCGCAGGTCTTCAGCAGCCTTGGACACACCTGGTCCGGCCCTGCTGCTTTCCTGGGCTTGAGCTTCCTCAGCTGTTCTCTGACCTGGTCTGTGGTGATGTGGGGTGGAGATTGTGCTGAGGTGTGTGGGGGGGTTGTCAGTGTTTTGTTGTCTGTGGGGAGGTGTGTGGTAAGGAGCAGAGGTGGCTGCAGTGAGAGAGGGGGGGGGGGGGGGCACAGACTGGTTGAACCTGTTGAAGAAGTTGTTCAGTTGGTTTGCCCTCTCCATTGTTCCCTCAACGACTCTGGTCTTTGTGTTGAGGCCAGTGATGGTCCTCACACCTTCCCAGACCTCCCTCATGTTGTTCTCTCTCAGCTTCTGCTCCACCTTTCTCCTGTAGCTGTTTTGCTTCCCTCACACACTGCTTCACCTCCTGCTGTGCTGCCTTCATGGCCTCCCTGTTTTCCTTCCTGAAGGCAACCTTCTTCTTGTTGAGGACAGTTTTGACTTCCCCGCGTTACCCAAGGCTTGTTATTAGGGTAACAGCGGACAGTCTTAGCAGGGGATACCACATCTGCGCAGAAGTTCAGATAGTCCGTCAGGCAGTGTGTCAGCCCCTCTATGTCCTGGCCATGCGGGCTGAACAGTGCATCCCAGTCCGTGGTGTTATAACAGTCTCTCAGAGCACTCTCCATCTCAGGGGACCACCTCCTGATGGAGCGAGCTGTTGTAGGCTGCTTTTGGACCAGGGGGGTGTACAGTGGCTGTAGGTGAACGATGTTGTGATCTGACTTCCTTAGTGGGGGTAGGGGTGTTGCTCTGTA